CCCCTGAACCCCATCTAGTTCTTCCTGCCCCACTCATGGGTTACCTCACTCCTCTTCTCCAGATAACTTGTGCAAAAATGTACACAAATATCTGTAAATGGTAACAGAGCTACGATCTGTTTAATTGCTGGGTGGTCCCCTGGACGGACAGGAGTGGAGAGTGAGACTAGTAATTGATCAAGCATTTCCACTCCTGAAAGGGAGACTGTAATCACAGGACTGACTTCAGAAAAGTTGCTTTATTATTAAAGAAATAAAAGGTGGTCTTGTGTTTCATTAAAATGATTGTCAATCTTTTCCTCCTGATTAGTAAGTGTAAAGTTAATTACTATGTATTTTTCCTGTCACTCCTTTGTGACATGCTCTTAGACGGCCTGACAGCTGGCATGCTCTGGGGAGGTGACAGGCATAGCCTCATACCATTTCTTTAGCCAGACACGCAAGCTGTTTTACCTCTGACCTTTGTTCATTCACCCTTGACTTCATCAAGTCGCAGGCCTAGGCTTTCCTGCCCTGGTTTCTGTTCAGATCCAAAATGTATCGACAAGTCAATTCTACTGTTAAGAACAGACCAAGTTCACAGACTTGCTATAAAAAATGGAAGAAATGAATTATTTTCGCAACAAGAGTGTTGACATCAAACCAGCCCGTTCCTTAAGGCTTGTGTTTCCAAGCTGCCTCTTATGAAAAGCCTTTTGTGTCCTAGTGAGGCTGATTCTGCTTGCTTAATCTTCAGTAGCTTTCAGCGAAAATTAATTTACTAAAATATGAAAAGATACTACAAACAAAAATTTTAAAGATTACTCCCCTACTGAGGTACAAATAAGAAATGCATGCAAAATGGGGCGCCTGGGTGGCTCAGTGGGTTAAGCCTCTGCCTTCGGCTCAGGTCATGATCTCAGGGTCCTGGGATCAAGCCCGGCGTCCGGCTCTCTGCTCAGCGGGGAGCCTGCTTCCTCCTCCCTCTCTGCCTGTCTCTCTGTCTACTTGTGATCTCTGTCAAGTAAATAAATAAAATCTTAAAAAAAAAAGAAATGCATGCAAACTATGTTTATACCTTTTCCCTCCCTTTTAAAATTAACTTAAAATGTCAGCTCATTCTTTTGGAAAGATCAGGATATGTTCTTCTGTCTTCTTTTGTAGACAAAGCCTGGAACGGAATATGGAAAATTTTAGAAAAGCTTTCTCTATTAAATTCAAAGTGGTAGGAACGCAAGTGTTTTATTTGGCTTTTGATTATTACTTGGGAGTTAAAAAACTAACGCAAGAGGAAGAGTGAGAGTTGTGTTGGGACGAGAGCATAAAACCTGCCTCTGAGGTTGTATTTCTGTTTCAACAGACGACTGTACGCTAAGTACCGAGGGTGTACGTGCTTCTGAGGGAGAAGCCCCGTGGTGCTGAGTGATGCTACCTGCGCGCGGCTGCTGGGCACAGAGGTCACGGATTTAGCTACTGGATCATGACGCATCCGGCCCTGACTAGTCCTCTGGTGACACAGGTTAATTTCTAAGTCCTTCGACTAAAAGGATTTCCCAGAGGCGGTAAGGAGACACAGGCAAGCCGGCGCAGGTCACTGTCCCCGTCCGCTCCTGCAACCACCGAGCGTCCCCCCGCGGGCCAGCGGGCTCTGCGGCTCTCCCTCCCCGGGGGGCGGCCTTGCTCCGGGAGCCGCGGGCAGTCACGGGGCCGCGCGCCACGCCAGACCCTGCACACCTGGCCCACCGGCCGTCCCGGACCGCGGAGGGTCTGGGCCTCATGCTCAGGCCCGCGGGGAAAGGAAGAGCCTGGGACCGCTGCCGCTCTGATGTCCCCGAGTTTCTCCTCTGAAGGGCGGGAACTCAGGGGCGGAGTCAGAGGGAGGGGCGGGGATAGGGGCGGAGGCAGAGGATAGGTGGGCGGGGAGAGAGCTGGGGGCGGAGTGAAGGGCGGGACAAGAGGAGGGGCGGTGGGGGTGAGCGGCGGAGCGAGGGCGGGGCGAGGGCGGGGCGAGGACGGGGTTGGCGTGTGGAGCGGGGCAATAGGTAGAGCGAAGACAGGGAGAAGGCAGAGTCGGAGTCGGGGCGAGGTCGGAGAGGAGGGTGAGGCAGAGAGAAGGGTGGGGCGAGGACGGAGCCAGGGACGAAGGGCTGGCGAGGCTGGGGGCGGAAGGTGGGCCGTAGGGAAGAGGAGGGGGCTAGGGCGGAGTCGAGGCTAGGGGAAAGTCGAGGGTGGGGGCGGGGCCAGAGCGAAGGCGGGGCGAAGGGCGCTGGGGGCGGGATCGGAGTGTGAGGCGCGGTCAAAGTTGGGGCGGGGGAAGGCTCGGTGAGGACGGGGGTGGAGCCAGAGCGCCGGGAGGAGCGCGGAGGTGAGGCGGAGAGAAGGGTGGGGCGAGGGGTGGGGCGTGATGGGGGCGGGGCCTGCGCTAACGGTCGCGCGGCGGGCTGCAGAGAGGCTGTGGAGCGCCAGGCCCGGCGGGCTCGAGGAGCGGCGGCTGAGGTGACGGCCTGGCCCGGGCGGCGCGTTCTGTGAGGCGCGGGCGCGCGAGGGGGACTGCGGCGCTGGCGGTGCGGGTCGAGTTGGGAAGCCGGTCACGCGGCTGTCCTTTCCCTTGCTGCCGTCTCGGGGCGCGGCGTCCCGAAGTGGGGTTCGCCCCTGGCGCGCGGGGACGCCGGGTTCCGCGGGGGCGGGCCACGAGGGGTGTGGCCGGCGGGGCCGGTGTGCGGCAGGGACCGCCGCGGTCGAGCGCACGGAGGCGGCTCCCGGCAGAACGGCGGACGACCGGCGGGTGCTCCCCGCGGGCAGAGCAGGGCCGGGCCGGGAGCCGAGGAGCGCGCGCCGGTGCGCAGCTGCGGGGGAGGGGCCCGCGGGGGGTGGGGGCGTCGGTGCCGGCAGCGCGCTCGGCCTCGGTCCGCTCCCGCCGCCGGCCCGGGGAGCACCCGGCGGTGTGGGCCGCGGGCCGGGCGCCGGGTCAGAGCAGGCAGCCGCGCGCGCCTCGTCCTCGCGCTCCGCGGCCCCAGCGCCGGGCTGTGGGGACGGCACACCCTGCCACACGCCTGGTTCCTGCGATTGTTAGAGATGCTCCTTCGGGGGAGTCGGCCCCGTCTCTGTCCGGTGCTGTCTACACCGGGTGTGCTCGAGCTTGCCGCCCGGGACCGAGTTGCGTGCTCCCCGCGCAGCCGCGGACGCCCCGGCGGTGCCCTTTAACGGCGCGAGGAGGGCGCCCGGCGCGGGGCGGGGAGAGGAGGACGCCGGGCGGGGGGGTGAGGGGGTTCGGAGACCCAGAGCGCGGGCGCGGCGCCCCCTCAGAGCCCTCCCGCGGCGAAGCCACTGCGTGACGTCGTCCGGGCTGTGGGTGACGGAAACGGTCCGGGTGCGGGTTTGGAGGAGCCGGCAGGTCACGCCCTGGAACCCCGACGGGGGCCGTACGGAGGGCCGGCCGCGTTTGATGCTTCCGTGTCGCCTCTGTGGTGTCGAGCGCCTTCCGGGCACGAGACAGCCCCGACGGGCACCCGGGGACCCTCTGAGCCCGCCTCCGCGCTGCTCAGGACGTGGCTTCAGATCGCGGCCATCCCCGCGCGCGGCGTAACCCGAGCCGAGCGTGGCTGTTGCTGCTGTTCTAGTTTGTTTGACGGAGCGAGCGGGCTGGGCGAGAGCGGGAAGCGGGCTCCCGGCAGAGCCGGGGACTGATGCGGGCGCGATCCGGGACCCTGGGATCGTGACCCGAGCGGGAGGCAGGCGCTTAACTGACCGAGCCACCCAGGCGCCCCTGTATTTCTTTTCTTTTCTTTCTTTCTTTCTTTTTTTTTTTTCCTTATGATTTACTCACCCATTTGAGAGACGGAGAGGGCACGTGCGCTCCAGCGGGGGCCGGGGTGGACGGGGAGGGAACGAGAGCGCCCCAAGCTGACTCCCCACTGAGCACTCGTCGGAGCCACCCGGGGGCCCCCGAGGTTTGCTCTATTTCTGAAAGTAGGCTTTGCGCTAATAAATGTTTCAGTCCCGTTGAATCTTCTCCCACCTGAAACTCTAAATTTACGGGGTGCACAAGAACTGCTAGATTAGCGAGGTCCCTGGGGGGTGCCGTCCGTCGTGTCTGACTCTGGGGTTTTCACTCTGGTCCTGAACTCAGGGTCATGACAGGTGCTGCTCGGGGAGCCTGCCTAAGACTCTCTTCTTTTCCCTCCGTCCCTCTCCCCCAGACTAAATCAATCAATCTTTAAAAAAAAAAAAACTCATATTCTGTGTTTTACTGAAACTAAAATGTCATTACATGTAAGATGCCTCCTGGAATCAGAAATACTGAAGGATTAAAAAAAATTGCTAACTTACACATTTTTTGGAAAGTGAAAGTTAAAAATTGGAACCTAACTGTACCATTCAAAATTGTAAAAGGACATTTTGAACCATGTTTTCTACAGATTTGATCTGTACTTACCTGTCACTGTTATAATAAAAACTTTTCCCTGAGAGTGAGTAACATATCTGATGCTTTCCTAGATATATTTTTTTAAGATTTTATTTATTTATTTGACAGAGATCACAAGTAGGCAGAGAGGCAGGCAGAGAGAGAGAGAGGAAGAGAAGCAGGCTCCCTGCCGAGCAGAGCCCGATGCAGGGGCTGGATCCTAGGATCTGGGATCATGACCTGAGCGGAAGGCAGAGGCTTTAACCACTGAGTCACCCAGGCGCCCCCTAGATAATTTTATTAAAGATTTGTTTATTTATTTATTTATTTATTTATTTGAGGGTGTGTGTGTGTGTGTGTGCACACCGTGGGCAGCAGAGGGAGAAGGAGAAAGAGTCCCAAGCAGACTCTGCCCCCAGTGAGGAACTCCACACGGGACTTGACCCCACAACCCTGAGACCACCACCTGAGCCAAAACCAGTCCGACTCTGAACTGACTCCGGCACCCAGGCATCCCCCGGATGATTTTTTTTTTTAATCTTGGAATTTTTCATGGTTTTTTTCAGTTATTTAATTTATTCATCAAACTTCTATTTTCTAAAATGTAGATAAAAGAATGGCAAACTCCTTTGCATCAAAGACCTTCACCACACTTTCAGATCTGCATCCAAATATGGCTAATCTGGTAAGTTTTAATAATATAGCGGTTTGGTGATTCTCTAGAGAAACTTTATGTGGTAATATTATATTACATCAACATTATTGGTTCATGTGACCCGTGCTTGTAATTGACGAGTATATAGCTACTCACTCCATCAGTAGGACTGTTGATATTAGATACCCCTAAGCTTCTTAGATTTTATGCCATCTAACTGAAAATTACTTTCTCTTTTGTCTAGAGGAGGACCTTGTAGATATGACTTGCAGTTGTTCAAAATGATCAAGAGTTTAATTGTATCACTTTCATTAAATATTTAATGACAGCTCAAACTTAGCGTTGTGAAATTAAAACATTTTTGCTCAGCAATATCTATTCTCTAATCAAACTATACATAAGTTACAGACTTAAATACTTGCCACTATGTTCCTTTATATAACATAAAGGTACACAAAAGATGTATTTCTGAAATATTATGTGAAAACCCATTTTTTACTGAAGGGTTGTGGGGGGATTCAATCATTTCAAACATGCCAAGACACTTATTAGTCAAATAAAATCTAGGTGGAATCATCTTATGAGGTGAAGAACTGCCCCAAGCAGTCTGTTGCTTTCATTTGGCATTTATAAATCAGATTTCTTAAGATGGGCTATATTTATATGTAACCTTAATATGCAATTAAAGTTTATTAATGTTAAAAATAGGGGCCCAAGTTTTTCTGATGGAGGCCCAGAAAAAAAAAAGATAAGTTATTAATTTCCTCTTCAGTTAAAAGCTTTGCTGAATATTTCCATTATATTTTTCCAACAAAATTTGGTGAGATTAACATGCATATGGAATTTAAGAAATAACAGCAGTGTGTCTAAACGTAGTAAGATTAATTAATAGCTCAGCTAAGATGTGATAATCTTAAGTGCTTGAACTATTTTTTTTAAAGATTTTTTATTTATTTATTTGACAGACAGAGATCACAAGCAGGCAGAGAGGCAGGCAGAGAGAGAGGAGGAAGCAGGCTCCCCGCTGAGCAGAGTGCCCATGCGGGGCCCAATCCCAGGACCCTGAGATCATGACCTGAGCTGAAGGCAGAGGCTTTAACCCCCTGAGCCACCCAGGCACCCCTGAATATATTTTAAATGTAACAGATTACTGCAAGGTTAAAATTAGTTTTAGAGTTAAGTGTAAGTTTAGGTTTATCCTTTCAGGAAAATGTAGTTATTTTTGTAATAATAAATGTATAATATGTATAATATTATATATATATAATTATACATTATTATATAATGTACAATAAGTGTAATAATAAATGTATGATGTGTATAATATTATATATTATTATATTGTACATTATTATATAACATACAATAAATATAATAATAAATGTTATTTTTGTAATACAATTTTATTTTAAAGTACTTTTTAAATATTCAGTTTTTATCTTGTAGTTGCTAAATAGAACATTGAAATGTTTAATATCTTTAAGGTCTAAGATCTAGGACTTTATTTATTTTATTTTTTAAAAAGATTTTATTTATTTATTTGAGAGAGAGAGAGAGAGGTCACAGGTAGGCAGAGAGGCAGGCAGAGAGAGAGGGGAAAGCAGGCTCCCTGCTGAGCAGAGATCCTGATGTGGGGCTCGATCCTCTGAGCCGAAGGCAGAGGCTTAACCCCCTGAGCCGCCCAGGTGTCCCCAGATCTAGGACTTTAGAGTTTAGATTTGTTAGGAGAGATGTACAAGTTTTGTTACAATCCAATTCATATTACTGTTTAGCATGTTTGGATTAAGAAGCTAAGCAATTTTATGTGATTGTTAGAAAATCCTATATTAAAGAAAGCTTTGCAGACCATGGCAAATTAAATTGTATATACCGTGCTTTGAATGAATTCAGTAAGAACTGATAGCATAGGGTAGTTACTGTGCTCCCCCTAGTGATTGAAAATAAAGGAGAAACGTGCTAAGTATTAAATGATTGTGTATGTAATAGCCGTTAATTGTCTTATTACTTTGTACTTTGCCTTGTAGAATTGAACATTTATGAAGTTCTTTAGATGTTTGTCTGGAGTAAATATATTTAAATGGCTCCTAGTCAAAAATGTTTGTTAGAGCCAGTAAAATATAACAAGTCCATGAAATTAAATTTACCATCTACATCTGTATTTAATATTTGTGTTCTATAACCTTCTTGTTTTTCAGAAAATAATTGGTATAGTTATTGGGAAAACAGATGTCAAAGGCTTTCCAGACAGAAAAAGCTGAGTTCTATTTAACTCTTTGCTTCATTTTTCATCAAGTGTGGCTTACGACTACAACAAAGTGTATTTAAGGGATTGAGTTTTTCATGCCTGTTTAACTCCTTAAGAGCAGTGTTCATTGCTCTGTTGTATGGTAAAGTACTCAATTTAGGGCGATATGTGTGTGGACCATAAAATAATTTTTAATGACATATGAGGCTGTTTGACCCAAAGTAAGGACTCCACTGTTTACGATCACTTTTAGCCTGAGAGATAAAAATACACAACTAAATCTAAGACAGAAGATGTTAAGGAACAGGGTTTTCAAGCAGGGATATGTCATGGTAGAGGAGCTTGGAAGGAGAGAAGTATAGCAGCGGTATCAACCAGACAACCAGTGAGAAATTAATCGTCCATATGTGGAAAATAGAGTTAACTCTGCCTTTAGTGGCTCTTAGAGTGGCTTGAACTGTATAAAAGTTTTAGGACGATGGAAACAATCCAAAACTAAAATTAGATTTTTAAGATCAAGTTTAAAAACAAGTTTTCAAACTTCTGTAGTTGACACACAATGATAAGATATAAAAGGCCAAAACTAGCATTGTAGTACCAATAGCTTTTAAACCGTCAGCACTACTTATAAAAGGTTACAGTATAAGCTCTTGAGGGAGTCAGAGTTGTAGTCAGGCAGACAATGATTTTGGCAGAAGACGTGAATTTTGTTTGAATTGCCTGAGTAGGGGCGCCTGGGTGGCTCAGTGGGTTAAAACCTCTGCCTTCAGCTCAGGTCATGATCCCGGGGTCCTGGGATCGAGCCCCGCATCGGGCTCTCTGCTAGGCAGGGAGCCTGCTTCCCTTCCTCTCTCTGCCTCTCTCTGCCTACTTGTGATCTCTCTCTCTCTGTCAAATAAAAAAAAAAAATGAATTGCCTGAGTAATTGTGACTCTGTTTTTTGTCTCATGGTGTAGTGACAGTACCTTAATTTTAATTTCATGTAATATTCCATTATTACATTTGATGTAAATATTTATTTATGCCTTTACTTTACTTCATCATGATTAATTAGATCAGAATTACCATTTGAATAGTTTGAGAAAGTCTATATGTCTTTTTTCTAAACTCTGAAAGGATAACTTAAAATACACAAATTAGGAAATTATCAGTATTTGAAATATTTGCTGAAATCCCAACAATGAAATAGAACTTTCACCTCACAGATTGTGCAGGTACATGATTCTTGTGGTGTTAGAGTACTTTTTATGATTATATGTACAGAACACCTTTTCTCGAGAAGATATCCTTACTGACTTAAAAAAAAAAAAACATTATACACATGTTACTACATTTTCACAAAACATTCAAGCAGTGCAGAAGGGCATAGAATAGAAAAATGAAATTCTTAATTCAACCCCCAGCTCTTTCCAGCCTAGTCTCCTCCCCAAAGGCAAGTGCTAATTACAGCTTGGTAGGTATCTGTAATTTATATATGTATGTTAGGTTGCGTACTTTCTTAATTAGTGAAGAACAAACAGTAAGGACATTTTTATTTTGGAAAAAAAATGTACCTGCCTGACCCCTGGTGGCTCCATGTACTAGCACACATTTATTTGTTTTGAAATAATTTATTTTTTTTAAAAGATTTTATTTATTTATTTGACAGAGATCACAAGTAGGCAGAGCGGCAGGCAGGGGCAGGGGGAATCAGGCTCCCTGCTGAGCAGAGAGCCCTATGCGGGGCTCAGGGTCTCAGGCTCAGAACCCTGAGACCATGACCTGAGCCAAAGGCAGGGGCTTAACTCACTGAGCCACCCAGGCGTCCTGTTTGAAATAGTTTAGATTTGAAGCATGACTTAGATTGAAACTGTAACAGAGAGAAATGGAGATCTAAACTAAAAGCTGTATGGTTCAAGCCGACGTGTCATTTCTCTCCAAATATGCAGATAACTGGGGAAAGGGAAGAGAGGGATCAATAGTGAGGTACGTTATCTACTCTGGCAGCTAGGAGATTGACTCAAGCATGACTTATCTTAGAATTTATATCGCAGTAATATTTTTACCATGTGTTTGAGTATGTTTGTTATCATATTTGTTCAAACCTAAGATAAAAGTTTTCATTTGCATTGGTTTCCCTTAGATATCGGATCAGAGAGATACACTTTCAGTTTCACCATTCGGGACTCACCAACGCATTTTGTCAATGTGACATCCTGGGGCAGCGAAGGTTACATCAGGTCGCTTTCTGACAGCTTTAGGGTTGGAGAGTGCGGTAAGTCGGCGTTGGTTCTTGAACTGTTTCTGTTGCAGTATTATTCCTGTGACATATTTGTGGGAACTACGCTGAGGGAGTCAAAGTAAGACATCATTCATAATTCCCAAGAAACAAGTTATGCATTAAGAGCATAAAACAAGCCTTTAGCATTTTATTACTTGAAACATATAAATGTGATAGTCACGTATTTTTACTAGGTAGCTTTACAATCTTTGGTTTATTTCAGATTTCAGTTTGCATCAATTCCTGTTGTTGCTGTCACCATTTATCTTTCAGTAACCATAGTAAGGCTGCTAAGTAGCTTTTTTTTTTTTTAAAGATTTTATTTATTTCACAGACAAAGATCACAGTAGGCAGAGAGGTAGGCAGAGAGAGAGGAAGGGAAGCAGGCTCCCTGCTGAGCAGAGAGCCGGATGCGGGGCTCGATCCCAGGACCCTGGGATCATGACCTGAGCCCAAGGCAGAGGCTTTTAACCCACTGAGCCACCTAGGCGCCCCAGTAGCTTTTGATAAAAGAAAAATTTGAAGTTTTAATAGGAGTTTAAGAAGCTCTACTTTCAAAATAGCAAATCTTTGGCAACCTTTACCCATTCCAGGATCCTTCTGATGGTACAGTGTCATATAAAAAAAACCCAGGGTTTTGAAAATGGATAGAGGTGGGTTCAGATCTTACTTCCAATATTTGTTTACATCATGGCTTTGAGAAAATTGCTTAACCTTGTTGAGCCTCAGTTGTGAATGAGTACCCTATAGATGCTGTGGGTCTTAAAGGAGGTAGTATGCGTGGTATAAAGTGTAAGTCGTTGTCCCTCAGTGGATGGCAGCGCTCGTCTCCTACAAGTAATGGGAAAGCACGATACCAGCTCCCTTTTGTGGGAGAAAAAAGAAGGGAAAGAGTAATGCACAGAATTAAACTACTCTCCAAAACTGCACAATTAGGCAAGCTATTACCCGTCCCTATCACTTAGCACTTACTCGTGTATTTATTATGTTATATTATGAAGTTGAAGGGTAATACGTTGTGTCTCTCTAACTGAATAATAAAGTACTTGAACATATGGATTGTGAAGGTGGAAAACTTTGTAAACTCCACAGGGCCCAGTACAATTAGAAACTTTCCTTGGATGAATGCCAGTGCATTAGTTATATGGAGCTAAAGTTATACTTTGGTATTAAACTATAGGTTAATGGTTGTGAGGATGAATGAAGTAAGGGGTCTTAAAAGCATAAGGTTGACAATAATTATAAATTTAAATAGGACCTTGGTGTGTTGGTGTGAAAAGATTACAGATTTTTGATTCAGAACAACTGTAAGTCTAGCGCTACTGGTTTCTAGATATAAAACCTCCAGAAAGTTATTTAACCTCTGTGAGCTTCAATTTCTTCCATTCATAAAAAGGGGTTATCATGGAGTAGTTGTGTGAGGAATCAGCAAAACAGACACAAAAAGGTCCAACAAGACCATAAAGAAACAGAACCCCTAAAATGTTCAGTCATAAGCTGTTAAGCTGTGGAGCGGAAATCAGGATCCGAGTTGTGCGTGGCTCTTTCTGCCCTGTGGCGATTGTTTCCAAAGGTAACCATGAACTGGGTGAAGTTTATTTAAAGTCTATGTCCTATGGAAGGCCAGGTCATAACCAGATTCCATGTTCAGTGTAATTAATCAATCAAACGATATTAATGCAGGTCATATGTAGGAATTTAAACACAAAACCTAAGACATCTGGGATCATATTGATGGTCGTACCGCAGGTTCCTTCTCAATGACACAAGGAAAGGACTGCGAAGGATATGCTACACTGACTCAGAAACTAGAAATAACATTGTAACATTCGGTGTGATGTATACTTGTTTTTATGTATCTAGTTACTTTTTTGTAATAGCATCTTACTTTTCCTTCTGTTGCAGTGATCATCGAAAATCCCCTGATTCAAAGAAAGGAATTAGAAAGAGAAGAAAAATTCAGCCCTGCAACTCCCAGGTAAATAATCCAGCACAAAGCCCACAGCCTTCGCGTTGGAGTGACCGCCAAGTGACCGCTGTTCTGTCTGTGTGTGACAGTAGCAGAGAGCTCACTGACGGTATGTGTGTCAATTTGAAAATTAGGAGTTTTGTTATTCCTCAAACAATTTACGTTGATATAGGATTGCATGAAAACATGGCTGTTTTTAGTACTTTTATTCTCAATTTAGTCACGTTAGAGCTGAACAATGAGAAAGAAAGGTAAATCTTGGAAGTCCTATAGAGGTATCACGTCCAAGTAAAACTCTGCCTACACGCTTTCCTATCTTAGTTCAGGTTCACTGGAGACAGAGCCCAGAGGAAGATTTTTGTGCAAGTGGTCTATTGAGGGAGCGCTCTCCGGAGCAGCCTGTAAGGGTAAGGTCAGGGGACAGCAGAGAGGCAGGTTCGGTGGGAGCTTGGCTCCTGCCTGCCTGGCCCCAGAGGGAGCTCTGGAGCACGAGTGGCACCCCCTGAAAGGAAGGGACCGGGTGACTGTGGCCTGGATTCACAAGTTATCGGTGGCGCCCACTCCCCACCACCGGCATTTCTTCCTGAGGGCATCTCTCCAGAGCAAGGGGACGCTGGTAAAGGGCTCTGAGTGGGCACAGCAGTCTCCACTACAGTGACACCTGCACCCATTTTGACCCCTTCCCATCTACTGTTCGGATGTCATAGCAGACCCCAGGTCTCATTTCTGTGCAGCCACACAGACTCCACTCTGCAAACACTGAGGGCTCATTCTGCACTATCAGCTTTTGCACACTCACTCCCTCTGCGCGGAACAGTCTTCTCCCATCTGCTTTGAATGTTTGCTCCTTCTCCTCATTGATGTGTCACCTTGAATGTCACCTCCTCAGGTCTTCTCCATTTTCTCTGTGTAGTGACCCTTGCAGTTCGTCACGAGGATGTCGCCCTGTCCTATTATCGTCAAGACCTCCTCTCTGAGATTATTTGATCAGTTGTGTGTCTGCCTCTCACACATGTGAACTCCATGACATCAAAGGTGTTGTCCGTCTCTTGCACCACTGTATTCCCTGCGCCTAGACTAGGTTCTGGCACATACTAGCTCGTGTAGATATTGATGAAATGAATGGATAAATGGATGGAGGGAGAGAGGAAGGAAGGGGGGGTGAGGAACGTTCTTAGCAGAGGGAACAAACATGAAACCTCTTGGCCTTTTCCAGAACAGTTAACAGTAGGTTGAACCATATGAAACTGTTGACATTTAACTATTTTTGGTCTAAAACTGTCATTTTCGGGTGCCTGGGTGGCTCAGTGGGTTGAGCTGCTGCCTTCGGCTCAGGTCATGTTCTCAGAGTCCTGAGATCGAGTCCCGCATCGGGCTCTCTGCTCAGCAGGGAGCCTGCTTCCTCCTGTCTCTCTGCCTGCCTCTCTGTCTGCTTGTGATCTCTCTCTGTCAAATAAATAAATAAAATTTTTAAAAAAAGTTGAAAAAAAAATAAAAAAATAAAACTGTCATTTTCATAATCTAGTAGTCTGCTATGGCTGGGCTTTAAGGCAAGGGCAGTGGAAGGAGAAGCTTGAGAGAGAAGCGGAGACGCTTCTCAGACAGCTTTGCCTGGCACGCCAACTTCCTTCTTTGCCGGTGGCCAGCCCAGAAGGTCTTTGAGTTGGGGAATAGTATGTTCATATTTGTGGTTTAGGATAATCACTTCAACAACGCGAGGGGGAGGAAGCACAGGAGACAAGGCAGCAGTTTAGGTGGGAAGTGATGAGGGAAGCACCTAACAAGATAGCAGGGGGAGGCACGGGAGGAGGGCCGGGTTCGAGGCTAGAAAGAGGCTCCCTGAGGGGACTTGGGAGTTGATTGGCTGGAGGGGGAAGAGCACCGTGACGGAGTTGAGTGTGTAGATACTGGGTGTCTGCCCCACGGAGAGCATCCCAGAAGGAAGTCGAGCGCCGTCCTGATGCAGGCAGGGCAGTCAGTGTCACGGAGACAGAAATGACGGGACACCCCTGCTCAGACATTTTAGAGGCTTTTATACCCCTGTTTTACAGAGAGGAAAACTGAAGCTCAGAGTTGGGGCTCGGTCAGAAACTAGTATGCTTAGAACTCGGGCACAAATTAGTCCTCAAAACGTTTTCTTGATGAAAATACATTTTAAAGATTTTATTTGTTTCTTGGTCAGAGAGAGCGATTACATGCACAAGCAGGGGGAACGGCAGGCAGAGGGAGAAGCAGGGGAGCCCTACGTGGGGCTCAATCCCAGGACTCTGGGATCATGACCTTAGCTGAAGGCCCATGCTTAATCCACTGAGCCTCCCAGGCCTCCCTTAATGAAAATACATTTTTAAATTAACATATAGTATATTTAATAAAAAATAATATCCATTCTGGCTCTCTCCTCCGCTGCAAGGGGGAAGAGTGGTGAGGAGGGGCATGAAAATACATTTTAGACAAAGAAATATTTCACAACATTTTTCAGTGTTTCTCAGAGTAAAAAAGTATAAATTTTCTAAATACAAGAAATTACTGTTGGTTGACTAAATTACAACCAAAAAGATAATTTAATGTGAATCTGGAAGTATTTTTCTATTAGAAAGTCACTTGATATTAACTGTTTTTGTGTGTTTTTGCAATTTAGCAGCTGTAAGCTATTGCTCAGTGAGAATCACTCCACGGTAAAAGTTTGTTCCAGTTACCAAGTGGACACCAAGCTCCTTGCTTTGATATACTTACCTGTCAAAGAGTCTCATGATTTTTATTCATTGGGTGACATTGTTGCAAATGGATGCAGTCTGGATGGGAGGATTATTAACGTGCTTGCGGCAGTGCGCTCGGTAAGTTAAAGCCTCAAAAAGCCAACCTCTGTTTGGTGGGCACTTCTATCACTTCACTTCTGTTTGGAAAGTAATAACCAGGAGAATCACTTTTCTTGATCCCTAGTAAGTTGAATTAAGAAAATGGTGGCACCTCTCATCACTGTCAGAGGAGCAGTTTATCTGGAAACGACTAGCAAAATAAAATCAAATTTGAATGTTAAATGCATCGCACTCCTAAATGATCTACTAACTGTGAGAGCTTTGCATACTTTGGTGAGACAAAGACACTAATGGAAAGAGTAAATTCACGGACTTGAAGAATTGCATGAAGTTTCTCAAGGGGATGTAGGTTGGAGGACTCTCGGAGTTCGCTCAGTCTGTGCTCAGAGGTGTTCTGAGGTGGAGGGTGGGCATACCCACTGTGTGGCTGGCGTGACCTTGTGCAGGCATCGTGGGGCCCTGGGGTACCCCTCAGGTTCACTGTCACCTCCCTTTTATGCAGTTGCCGCAGTGAGTTTGAAACTCTGTTGGACAGGCTGGTCATTTGGCAGACATTCAGAGGTAGATCTCAAAAGTACAGTTTCACACACACAGAAAAGTACATGGAGAAAATTAAAGGGGCAGGACCAGTTCCTCAACTCCTAGGGAGTGAGGATTGTCAGAGACCACATACACACATACGGAATGTTGTAGGTAATCGCTCGTTGCTTTTCTGTATTAAATGATAGTGTTGACTCTTCCCGTTGACAGGCATGTGACAGTGGTGGCCACGATTGCTGTGTTGTCCACACTAGCCCCAGCCCGTGCAGTGCCCGCCACACAGTGACCATTCACTATAACTCAAGCTGGAGGAGTAAACTCCCTACGTGACAGTCTTGAAAACTAGGAGAAGTCACTTTCTGGGCTATTTAGTTAGGTTTAGTCTTACATAAAGGCAGGATATTATCTCAATTTCCCTGCAATTCTATACAATGCCATTATATTACAACGTAGTAAGAATTTTCTAAACCTCGGTATAAGCAAAAGCCTGGGACAGCATTTTCCGCTTCTCCCACCACGAGTCTGGCCCCTTCTTTTATAGGAGGACGTTCCTTTTTCGTGTGTGTCTTTCTTCTACCATTTTATTTCCATCCCTCTTATATTTCCTTTTCTTCACATTTTTGTTTACCCTTTTTTCTCTTCCTTCTCACCTCTCTCTCATCACTGTAGAATCCTTTTCATAGACTTCTCTTGTGTGCCGTGATAAATCACACCTCGGTCACACTCTGGCTGTCCTTGCCTCTGACTTTTCCTCCTAGATCCTGCTCTCATGCTGGCAGCGGCCTGTCTTCCTTCAGCTCCTTCTGCTGGAGCTCAGCTCTATAGGAGATGTGGAGGCGACAGCGTGGGGGGCAGCCTGCTGACCGTCCGTGCTTGGCCAGTGTTACGTGGCCAGCGTGGCTGGCAGAGGGGCCTGCCCTTCCCTCTGAGAACTTGCTGGAGGGACAGAAGGGCCCCTGGGTTTACCTCCACTTCCACGATCCTCTTACTCCCAGTGGGGTCAAGCCAGATGGTGCGTCAGCATGTCCCTCGTTTGGTCTCCATCACCTCATCCCCGTGGAGGCAGCGAAGAAGGTGCTGCTTTCCTACCTGCGTCAGCAGGCTGAGGACGCGCAGGCCTGGGAAGACAGAGTTGTTTCGGTCACGTGTACTCCGCGCCAAGCTCTGCGCTGAGCCATGGGCGTCCCAGATGTTGGAGATACATTTTCCATCCTCAGTCCACCTAGATGCCGCACGGGCTTGTTGTGGAGCACTGTTTTTGACATGTTGAAAAGACTCCACAGTCTGAACTCAAAACACGTGTTTCTGCGTCTCCCTTCAGTCAGTGTGTAAACTTACAACATCAGCTAAATATACCTACGTTAGAGATAGAAGATGCTTTTAAAACCTTCATATATATATTTTTTAGTGTTTCTTGCTATTTTGATTCTTTTAATTTGCTGTTTAAAGGGTAAATATTTGAATGTTTCCACCAGTAAACATTTTTGTACCTCTACAACTGTAGGTGGGGAATAATGACTTCCTTCCATTTCTAAGGTCGGAGAGCCAAAACACTTTACAACTTCAGACCGGAGGAAAGGCCAGAGGTGTGAGGTGAAGCTCTACGATGAGACAGAGTCTTCTTTTGCAATGATATGGTAACCTCCCACATCTGCTCCAGACCGTAAAATCCCTGCTGTTAGCGCCGGGACAGAATATTTTTATTTTATGAGAAAGATGATGGATTTCATAATAGGAGAGGAGTAACGATGGAGGAGAAGTAATTATTAAAAAGGAAACCTTGCTCTTATATATTGAGTGCTACAGTCTGTGCTGTAAGATTACCTTAAAATGAGCTTTGTGGACAGCACGGGATTATTTGGACAGACTCCACTGTGACTGGTTCATTCCTGTCCTCTGCTTTACAGCAGTCAGTGATTCATTAGGTCCCATGGTAATAAACCAGCCAGATTCTGTGTGATTGCTTGGGTAGCGCCCTGGAATCAGGCCACAGGAAGGTGTATTGTCCCCAGCTGTGCCCTGAAGCACCGCAGGGTAGAACATGGCATTGCTCCGACTCTAGATGCCTGGGCACCAAAGAAAACACTGAGTTTGAAACACGCCTTCAACTCGTCAAGTGTCCTGAACAGTTTAGCCAGTGCGGGCCTCTGTTAATAGTCGGACAGAGTGGCTGTACAAGCTTCAGATTTGTAGTCCCTCAGTTCGGCCAGCCTGCGACGACTGAAGTAGTGTGGAAAGAAGGAACTGAGGGGGCAGAAGTGGTCAAAGATGAGTAGTGTCCGGGGAAGGGACTTAACACGTGAACATGAAATGCCCTTTGTAATAGACAGTGAATCCTGCAAATCAGGAGATGCCAGCGTCCTTCACTGTGGCTTTGACAACCCGGTAGTTGTTAACTGCAGCCGTTCAGACATTCTGTTTTTGGCAAACGATGTGGTCACTGCCGGGTTTTCTCTAATGTATTCATTTTTTTTACTTCCTTTTTAAAATATGCAGTTGGGATAATGAATCTATCCTGGTTGCACAGAGCTGGGTGCCGCGAAACACAGGTACGGTACTGCGATGATTGCACTCGCTGTTTATCGTGTTTTATACCCCCTTCCACATAAAAGTTGTAAAATGGCTTTTTCCCCCCAAACAGTGATATTTGCCTCAGATGTAAGGATAAGTTTTGACAAATTTCGGAACTGCATGACGGCAACTGTAATCTCAAAGACCATTATTACGACTAATCCAGGTAACAGGCTATCTGCAGTGTTGTGTCCCTTTGGAAATGACTGTGTCACACATTTCAATGTTTGTGCAGTGTATTTAAGAATGAAAATAAGGGGGGGCGCCTGGGTGGCTCAGTCAGTTGGGCATCTGACTCTTTGCCTAGAGTCATGGTCTCTGGGTTGTGGGATTGGCCCCAGTTGGGCCTGGAGTCTACTTAGGATTCTCCCCACTCCCTCTCCCCCTCCCCGCTCACTTACACATGCATGTGTACACACTCTTTCTCTTAAAAAAAAAAAAAAAGAAAACAATTCTTTGATTTCATTTGAATTAAAAGTGAAAGTTGCTTTATATGCTTTACATTTATATTTCTTTAGGGTTTTTTTTTTAGATTTTATTATTTGTCAGAGAGAGAGAGAGAGAGAGAGCACACAGGCAGGGGAATGGCAGGCAGAGGGAGAAGCGGGCTCCCTGCTGAGCAAGGAGCCTGATGTGGGACTTAATCCCAGGACCCTGGGATCGTGACTGGAATTGAAGCAGACGGAAAACCAACTGAGCCCTGCAGGGTCCCTTTACATTTATACTTCTTAAGCTTACAGTGAGCTATATCTTTGATGTCCTTACTGACGAAAAGAAATGTGAAAAACGAGACTCAGTTTTAGTTTATGTTTTTAAGGTATTTATTTATTTATTTGAGAGAGAGAAAGAAAGAGTGAGCACGAGCAGGGGGAAAGGGCAGAGGCAGAGGGAGAAGCTGAGTCCTGTTGAACACGGAGCCCAACACAGGACTTGATCCCTGAAGCCTGGGATCATGACCTGACCTGAAGGCAGACTCTTAACCAACTGAGCCACCCAAGTGCCCCCAGACTCATTTTTAAAACATCATTCCTGGTGATGATTCTGGAGAGATCAGTGTAATTGATTGGATCACCTAAATTATTGACTATTCTATTTAAGTTTTAAAAAAATTTGTCAGAGAGAGAGAGAGTACAAGCAGGGGCGTGGCAGGCAGAGGCGGAGAGAAAAGCAGGCCACCCGCTGAGCAGGGAGCCCGATGTGGGACTCGATCCCAGGATCTTGGGATCATGACCTGAGCTGAAGGCAGTCGCCCAACCGAGCCACCCAGGCGCCCCAGTTATTGACTATTTTAAAAATAAATTCACTTTTACTATATTCAGATAACTTAGTACTAGAGCGCCCAGAACACACATGTCACATGATTAGTTTATCACCTAACAAAGCACCCAGAAGGCCCACGGGAGTGGTTGTTGAAGGAAGTTACAGCTTATGTCAGCATGCAGTCCGGGGAGCAGGGTCTTGGGAGAGGTGAGAAGTTGGTGCCCTCAAGTATCCTCACAGTCCTCTGTACTGTGGATAGAGAGGTGAGCCCAGCACCCTGGAAGAGTACAGAATTCCCAAAGATGGAACGTTCCTCCCAACTCAGGAAGCCGGGACTGTAGTAGTGGGTCACTTCTGGCAGTAGCTCCCTCTGCTGGTTGCTAACAAAGCACCAACAGTGACTAGTACAGTATTGTACTGTACTGTATTGTATAGATTTTATTTATTTGATAGAGAGCGAGCAGATGGCCACGAGCAGGGGAGAGGAGAAGAGGGAGAGGGAGAAGCAGACTTCCCACTGAGCAAGGAGCCTGACATGGGACTTGATTCCAGGACCCTGAGATTATGACCTGAGCCAAAGGCAGAGTCTTAACTGACTGAGCCGGCCAGGCGCCCCTACAGTGACTGAGAATTACAAAGCAATTCTATGTCTTTGACCAAACCATTATCAGAATATTTTCAAGTAGCTGTGCTGGGAGATACGACATAAGATGATGAGACTGTGCTGCATATGTGTGCTGGACTTTGTGCATCCTCCCGAACACCGAGTCCCTGAAGGTGGCATCATGGAAGGTGACTTGACATGGACGTGCTGGGTGCAGGGCATTGGCCTGGGGGCCAGTGACAAAACATAGATATCTCCATGCACATGAAGCTCACATTCTAGCAGGAGAGACACAGATGATAAATGGTAAAGATAACACATCTGTGAATTATGATACTGAAGGAGAAAAAGAGGAACAGGATCAGCAGAGTCCAGGGCGGGTTGCACTTTATAGAGGGTGGTCAGGTAGGCCTCCTTGGGAAGGTGACATTTGAGCAAGACGTGTTGAGGCAGTGGGGGTTAACCACAGGAAAGAGCGTGAGGCTGTTAGTACTGGAACAGCCAGTGCAAAGGCCCAGTGGTTGGCATGTGCCTGTGTGAGGGCAGAACAGCAAGGAGGCCAGTGTGGCTGGAGCGTGTGGAGCACAGGCAGGAGGAGGGGTCAAGGTCAGAAGAGAAGCCTGTGTATCAAGAATGCCTTAAAGGCTAATGAAAGGATGTTGGCTTTTATTCTGTAGCAAAGAGTTTGGAACAGAGCAGTGACATTTTCTAAGCACTGAAAGGATCGCTTTAGCTACTTTGTTATAAATTGATGGTAACACAACCACAATCTGTTCTCAACATTTAGGACAAGAATGCTACTCTTCAATTCCTTTTTTTTTTTTAAGGGTGTACAATGGTTTATTATTTTTAATAACTTATTAACAGTTTTATAGTATTATATAGAGTAATGTCAATGATTTAAAAGTCCCCATCTGCTGAGCGTAAATTTGGCCTGGGATAATTTTTAAAAGAAAGTTAGATTCTTTTTTTTTTTTAAAGATTTTATTTATTTATTTCACAGAGAGAGATCACAAGTAGGCAGAGAGGCAGGCAGAGAGAGAGACAGAGGAGGAAGCAGGTTCTCCGCTGAGCAGAGAGCCCGATGCGGGACTCGATCCCCGGACCCTGAGATCATGACCTGAGCCGAAGGCAGAGGCTTAACCCACTGAGCCACCCAGGTGCCCCAAAAGAAAGTTAGATTCTAAAAGTCTTTTGGGGGGTGCCTGGGTGGCTCAGTGGGTTAAGCCTCTACCTTTGGCTCAGTTCATGATCTCGGGGTCCTGGGATTGAGCCCCGTATCAGGTTCTCTGCTTGATGGGGAGCGTGCTTCCCCCTCTCTCTCTGCTGCTCTAACTACTTGTGATATCTGTCAAGTAAATAAATTTAAAAACAATAAAAGTCTGTTGGAAAAAGTTATCAAGCTTGGTAGGATAATTGTATCAATAACTCAGGGCTAAGTTAATGAAACACATATTCAGTGGATGTTGCCTGTTTGGTTCTGAACACAGCCTGAAAGGGAAATCTCAAAGTGTTTGGGCAGTGCCAACAGCACTAGAGTAAGTGCCTGCTTCTCAAAGTGACAAAGGAGAGTGCTTACAAGTGTGCGTGAATTTTTAAAAAAAGATTTTATTTATTTATTTGTTAGAGAAAGAGGGTGGAAAGAAAGGACAAGCAGGGGGAGCAACAGGCAGAGGGAGAAGCAGGCTCCCCATGAGCAGGGAGCCTAATGTGGGACTCCATCCCAGGACCCTGGGATCATGACCTGAGCCGAAGAAGAAAAAGAGGAACAGGGTCAGCACAGTCCAGGGCGGGTTGCACTTTACAAAGAGTGTAAAGCTGAAGGCAGACGCCTAACTGACTGAGCCACCCAGGTGTTCCAGGGTGCGAGAATTTTAGTGTGCTTCTTTAAATCGGCCTTATTTGTTGCTTCTTTGTCTGCACCCACCAAGTACAAACTAAAAACCTCTAATGGCTTAAGCTTTCATCCTAGCTTCCCTTAGGGCTTCCTCTGCCCTGAGAGTGTCCATCAGGCAGCCCTGGATAGCCCTGTCGTCAGGAGGGCTGTGCTTGACAGCAGTGCTTGAGGGAAGCCTGGTGCTTCGATTTCTGCAGCTTCACTGCAGCGCTGGCTCCTACCTGGTGTGCAGCGCTCCCGCCAGTGTTTCAGAAGCATCCAGTCGTTCATTCACTCATTAATTTACCAATATCTGCTGAATGGCTTTTATTTGCTAAGTACTGAGATAACATGCGTCCTTCCTGGCACAAGGCAGGCTGCGATGGGTAGATGGCCAGGGACAGTTGCTGGAACTACCGAGCTGAAGAGGAGGCCCCTGCTCACGAGGGGCTTTGGTCTCGTTATGTGAAAGAACAGTGGTTAGACTCGGGGTTAAATGCGAGTGAGGAGGAAGCACCTGCCTCTGCCCCAGGAGTCAGCGACCCAAGGGGCCAGGGGTCCAAGCAGCAGCATGTTTGTAGAATGTTGGAGTAGGCGAGGGAAGGCTGAAAGGCCACTAAGTGTTGGAGGCTGAGGGGGCTTGCGGTTGAAGGATGTCAGAGTCAGGTGGGGGCCCTTTTTCCAAATCACGTTCTTGCCTGTGGGCACACCATCTGACTGTTCCTGAGAATACTTGTGTCCTAAGGCAAGCAGCAAGGCTTTTTAATACACTTAAAAAATTTTTTTTCCTGCTTAAAAAAGAAATACATAAAAAATTCAGAAAATACGTAATAGCAAAAAGGGAAAACAACAAGCCCCTATAATCTCACCATCTTATAAGAGAATCGTTTCTCTTCCAGGTACTTTTGCATTCCTGTATATATTTATGCCTTTTCAATTGAAAGGAAATTACACCACATCATTCTATAAGCTGCTCTTCAACAGTAGCTGGTGTGTGTCTCTTCGTTTAGTAGACCACCGTGTCACATTGCTAATTGGCTGCATCATATTCTATTTGACTGTGTTTTCATATGTCTTCACTTTTACCATTAAAAATAATATTGGAGGGCGCCTAGTGTCTGACTCTTGATTTCGGCTCAGGTCTTAATCTCAGGGTCATGAGGTCACGCCCTGCCTCTGGCTCCATCTCAACGCGGAGTCTGCTGACAGTCTCTCTCTAAGTACGTAAATAAATAAATAAAATCTTGGGGTGTCTTGATGGCTCAGTCAGTTGAGCAGCCGACTCTCCGTTTCAGCTCAGGTCACGATTGGGGTCCTCGGATGCAGCCCCGTGTTGGGCTCTGCACTTAGCGGGGAGTCTGCTTGGGACTCTCTTTCTCTCCCTCTGCCCCTCCCCACTGCTTACATGTGTGCTCTCTCTCAAATAAAGAAATCTTTAAAAAAAAAAAAGTAATCAGTTGCTTTTCACTTATATTATGCATCTTTTATTTAAGATACCCCAGAAGCTAACATCCTGTTGAATTTTATAAGAGAAAATAAAGAAACAAATCCTCTGGATGCTGAAATGGACAGTTACTTGAGAGAATCCGTAGATTGTAAGTGACCTTTAAATTATTTTTTTGTTTCATGTAGTAGAAGATACCATATTCTTTTCCTGTAACTGCTATATTTCCACTTTCTAAAAGGTTATTTAAAACTTTTAGAAGTTTTGGGGCACCTGGGTGGCTCAGTCAGTTGGGTGTTGACTCTTGGTTTTGGCTTTGGTCATGATCTTGGGGTTGTAGGATTGGGCCCTGTGCGGCGCCCTGCACTCAGTACGGAGTCTGCTCAGGATTCTCTGCTCCTCCCTCTGCCCCCACACGCTCTCACTTTCTCTGGGATAAATAAATAAATAATCTTCAGAGGTTTCTATAACCCTTTCCCAATCTAATAGAAGTTAAAAAAAATTGAGCTGACTGCCTTTTTCTTACTGATTTTTAAGAATTATTTATATATTCTGGATATGAGTCCTTTGTCTCCCACACTGAGGCTTGCCTTCCCACTCTTTTAATGGCATCTTCTGATGACCAGAAAGTCTCCATTGACATAAAATGAAATAAATTTCTCATTCTTTCCCTTTTTTTGCTTATTATTTTTGGTTGTTATGTCCATTTATATAATCAGTCTTAATACAGAAAATGTAATAATTTTTCTGTTACTTAACTGAAGCTATTACATGTTCTCATTTTTTTTAAAGATTTTATTTATTTATTTGTCAGAGAGAGAGAGAGGGAGAGAGAGCAAGCACAGGCAGACAGAATGGCAGGCAGAGGCAGAGGGAGAAGCAGGCTCCCTGCTGAGCAAGGAGCCCGATGTGGGACTCGATCCCAGGACACTGGGATCATGACCTGAGCCGAAGGCAGCTGCTTAACCAACTGAGCCACCCAGGAGTCCCACATGTTCTCATTTTTTTAAAGATTTTATTTATTTATTTGACAGAGAGAGACACAGCGAGAGAGGGAACACAAGCAAGGGGAGTGGGAGAAGGAGAAGCAGGCTTACCCCAGAGCGGGAAGCCCGATGCGGGGCTTGATCCCAGGACCCTGTGATCAGGACCTGAGCCAAAGACAGACGCTTAATGACTGAGCCACCCAGGCAGCCCTGAACTTTACAGTTTTTCTATTTAGATATAATCCTTTGGAATTTTTAGAATATATAGAGAGCCGTGATAACTTCTTTTTATTTTCAGTAAATACAATAGTTGATGTCTACACAGTTGAGCAATTAAAAGTAAAAGCTTCGAAGAATGAAGGGAAGGCTGACCCTTCCTACGGCATTCTTTATGCTTACATTTCTACGCTGAATATTGACGGTGACGCCACGACAGTAGCTCGACACCAATGGTGAGCAGCCCGTGTCGTCAGCAAGCTGCTTCTTGTAAGAAATAAAGACCAACTATTGTTAGTAAATGTTAATCTCTATAAAAGTTAAAGCTGTTCTTTGACATAACAGTTATTATGTATGCTATTTTTAATTTTGTTTTTTTTTTTAATTTTTAATTTTTATTTTTACAAAGATTTTTATTTATTTATTTGACAGAGAGAGACACAGTGAGAGGGAACACAAGCAGGGGGAGTGGGAGAGGGAGAAGCAGGCTTCCTGCTGAGCAGGGAGCCCTATGTGGGCTGATCCCAGGACTCTGGGATCATGACCTGAGCCGAAGGCAGGTGCTTAATGACTGAGCCACCCAGGCGTCCCAGTTGTTATGTATTTTAAATAAATGTATAAATAAATAACCCATACTGAAGTTTCCAAGGCAAACTATGTTGATTCAAAGGTTACAATTACTTTTCAAAGTAAAATTTGATTTGCTGTGTTTCTGTAATCCTAAAATATGAAGATATAATGGTGCCAGAAACTATTTTTTTTTAAGATTTTGTTTATTTATTACAGATAGAGAGAGAGAGAAAGAGAGAGAGAGCATGAGCTGGGAGAGGGGGAAGGGCAGAAGCAGACTCCCTGCTGAGCAGGGAGTCCACTCTGGGGCTTGAGCCCAGGACCCTGGGATCATGACCTGAGTTGAAAGTAGAAGCATAACCGACTGAGCCCCCCAGACACCCCTGCTTCCAGGAAGTTTTAAGTGAGATGACAAACTGTTGTTTTATAATATATTAGAATATTATTTTGGTTACTGTGTCCTATAGCAATGCAAGGGACAGCATTTAAAAACAACTATTTTTAGGGGCACCTGGGTGGCTCAGTGGGTTAAGCCTCTGCCTTCGGCTCAGGTCGTGATCGCAGGGTCCTGGGATCGAGCCCTGCATCGAGCCCCGCATCGGGCTCTCTGCTCCGCGGGGAGCCTGCTTCCCCCTCTCTCTCTGCCTGCCTCTCTGCCTACTTGTGATCTCTGTCTGTTAAATAAATAAATAAAATCTTTAAAAACAAAACAAAACAAAAAATTTCACCACATTGACCTGCAGTCGTGCACGTGTGTGTGTGTGTGTGTGTGTGTGTGTGTGTGGTTCTGTAGGGTTTTATCACATGTGTGGGTTTGTGTATCTACCACCATAGTCAAGATACTGACCTATGGATTTTGAAGATATTTTATGATTTGCTATTAAAATTGAAAAAGACCTCCCCTCCTCTCTCTCTGCCTGCCTCTCTGCCTACTTGTGATTTCTGTCAATTAAATAAATAAAATCTTTAATAAAAAAAAAAAGGGGGCGCCTGGGTGGCTCAGTGGGTTGGGGCCTCTGCCTTCGGCTCAGGTCATGATCCCAGGGTCCTGGGATCGAGCCCCACATCGGGCTCTCTGCTCAGCAGGGAGCCTGCTTCCCCTCCTCTCTCTCTGCCTGCCTCTCTGCCTACTTGTGATCTCTGTCAATTAAATAAATAAAATCTTTAATAAAAAAAAATAAAATAAAATTGAAAAAGACCAAAGCGGAGGCTGCTGTGTAAATCAAGTGTTTAGTTTTTGAAGAACATTTTTCAAAAACTTTTGAAAAACTTATTGTCTCCCTAATTTCTTCCTATGTCTTTAATATTGATATCTGAGGAAAAACATCTGAAATTTACCTTAAAAGTGATCTGAGCCCAGACAGGAAAGCACTATCTTCAGATCACACCCTCTAGTCTTTCTGTCCAAATTGAGTAAAGTAAGACCTGCCTCAAAACCGGGAATGGCGTGTCATCACCGTTTAGAGAGAGAAGATTGCGTCACTAGCAGAACAAGAGCATTCTGGGTGTGAACCTGACCCTCCCTAGGATTTTTCTGTTGAGGTTCCCAAGGCCTAGCACAGAAACATGGAGTGAGTATTCGTGGAACTTGGGCTTTCTAGGCACGAGACAGGATTCTTCCCTCAAAGCCCTGAGCTGGGGAGACCAGGCAGGCCTACCCCCAGTAGGGAGGAATAGGACAGCACAGGATAGAAGGGTGGGGCTCATGCTGTTTAGAGCTGGGAAGGGGTAAAGGAAGGGAGCCTTAGCAGGGGCAGGGTGGGAGGCAGGGCGGTAAAAATGGGATTGATTGCACGTTGTGCTCTTCCTTATTTCGTATACCTGTCTGGTATCCTGCACTGTGCTGGGCACTCTGAAGTTACTCTGATTTAGACTTTTTTTTTAAAGATTTTATTTATTTATTTGACAGAGAGAGAGAGATCACAAGTAGGCAGAGAGGCAGGCAGAGAGAGGGGGAAGCAAATTTCCTGCTGAGCAGTGAGCCCGATGCGGGGCTCGATCCCAGGACCCCGAGATCATGACCTGAGCCCAAGGTAGAGGCTTTAACCCACTGGGCCACCCAGGTCCCCAATATAACTGATTAAGACTTTTAAGGGAGCGTGGTTCTTCTGCTGGGGATCAGGTTGGTCATTTTATCCTTGTCTCTGTTTCTTTTCAGCTCAGGCTGTGGTTATGTTGTAAATGAAGCATCCAGCACTTGTACTGCTTGCAACAAAAATTCTTTGGAATTTCGGTCTGTTTTTCTCAGCTTCCACTTGCTGATTGACCTCACGGACCACACAGGTACCCTCCAGGCCTGCAGTCTCACGGGACGGGTTGCTGAGGAGACGTTAGGCTGCACCGTAAGTGACAGAAAGGAAGACATGTTTTGAAATAATTCCAAATTGAGTTCTCTTCCCCTCAAGGATAGGTTATTTCGGTGAACAGTTCGTAGAAATTACGTCATTCATGAAGAGGTCTGGGGAAGAAACTCAAGCCTGATTTAAACACGCGTTGTTTCCCTGAACAAATAATTGCTTGTCGCGTGTTCAGATGACAGCTGATACTGTTGTCGGGGACAGCGGCTGGGGCTGCTGACCGTGGGGCAGAAAGAAGACGTTTTCTATAGTCGAGTAACAGTGTGCAGAGCACATTGGAGATGCTGATGTGTTGAGGCAGAAGGAGGGTCTGGGGATGCTTCACCAGCTGTTGGAGGAAGTCACCCCGCAGGGAGTCAGAACACACACAATGCCGTCCTCCGTCAGGGTGTGTGCGCGCGATGACAGGCTCTCGGCTTTTCTATTAGTGCCAGCTCGTGCGGTTTGCCATGAGCCCCCAGCCCCGCCCGTGTCAGGTTTTTTTTTTTTTTTTAAAGATTTATTTATTTGACAGAGAGAAAGATCACAAGTAGGCAGAGAGGCAGGCAAAGAGAGAGGGGGAAGCAGGCTCACCGCCGAGCAGAGAGCCCGATGCGGGACTCGATCCCAGGACCCTGAGATCATGACTCGAGCCGAAGGCAGAGGCTCAACCCACTGAGCCACCCAGGCGCCCCCCATGTCAGGTTTTTAAGGGGAGTTTTCTGGGCTGAGCCACCTGACTGGTGTCAGAGATTCAGCTTGGAGACTTTCTGACCTTATTGCTTCCATGAAGACAACTGAGCTGTAATTACTAAAAGCAAAATTCCATTTTAGTGCACAAAGCCAAGTTTCACATTGTTAAGGGGAGTTATTTACACGGATTTTGGAAATATTTGTCTGTTTTAACCAGGTAAATGAGTTTCTTGCAATGACGGATGAACAGAAAACAGCACTGAAGTGGCAATTTCTTCTGGAAAGAAGCAAAATTTATTTAAAAGTTAGTGTATTTTACAGTACTATATTATTCTATATGTTCAAGTAGTAAGAAAATCCTGGAGTATGACCTAATAAACTAGGGAATTTATTATTTTTAATAATGTCCTGTCCTAGATATGCAGAAGACTCTGGCTAATGTGGGAACAATGCAAGTAATTAGGTGTTTGTTTGCTTGTTTCGTGTACTATAAAGGGATTCCACATGACAGCAAAAGAATAGACCAACATGGGCGTCTGGCTGACTCATTCGGTGGAGCATGTGACTCTTTTTAAAAAAATTTTTAAAGTTTAAAAGCAATCAATTAATATATAATATCTTATATGTTTCAGGGGTACAGGTCTGTGATTCATCAGTCTTACGTAACCCCCAGTGCTCACCACAACACATCCCCTCCCCAATGTCCATCATCCAGTTAACCCTATCCCTCACCCCAACCTCCAGCAACCCTCAGGTAGCATGTAACTCTTGATCTCAAGGTCGTGAGTTCAAGCCCCACGCCCGGTGTAGAGATTACTTAAAAATAAAATCTTGGGAGGGGGGAAGAAAAAGACCAACAAAGACAATATCTGTTATATTTTGTCCAACGAGGGCCCTGGGCTGTAGAGTCAAAGCTGGTACCCCACCCCTGTCCCGCCCCTGTCACGCCCATGGAGCAGTGCTCCTCATCTCCATGAGTAGCATCAGGTGGCAGAGTCACATGCCTGGATGCAGGGGAGAGACAGGCTGGGTCTGAGTCCCAGCTCTACCACTCATCAGCCTCTGCGACCCTTGGAGCTCTGTGATCCTGCATCTCTAGTCGGAGCCGCACTAACAACACTTCAGCGTGGGAGGGTCACAGAATCTTTCGGATCAAAGGTGTGAAAAGGGAGGAGACAAACTCCTTTGTTTTGCAAATGCAGAAAATGGAATCCAGAAATGTTGCTACTTACACCAGGTCACAGGTGAGATGGGCTACAGCCTACGCTCTCTCTCCTTCTATCAGTCTCAAGAGAGTTATATCTGTCAGGACTTACTGCGCTAGAATGTGACACTGAGAATAATTTAAAACCTGTTCCTGAGCTGACATTCCATAAACCGTCAGCAGTGATGTCATCCCATGCCCACAGCCTCTAGAGAACCATGGTGTGTTCTTCCCAAGAGCTAGAGTGAGAAAGGCAAACGGCATCTTGGTATAATCACAAAAATAGTTGTGATCTCTCGGGTACTCTGCATAGTCTTGGGGAGCACCATACCCGCTCCAGCTAAGCCTCAGAAATCGCGGTCCCCACTTCCCAGCGCTGCTTTCCATGGGGCCTTAAGCACGTCTGAGTGGGTTGCAGACATGGAGTTACCCATGGACTCCCTGATAATTCCTAGCACATTGGTTTGAGGCCTCTTTATTACTAGGCTGGAGGGGGATTGCAGGAACATTCTGGATCTCTTCCGCCATTAGCATGGATCCCTCTGCGTACTGTCTGTCCCAGAGCGGAATACGCTCAGATCTCTGACCAATTTCGCTTCCCTCCAGACAAGTGGTGCCAGTGCTAATGAGTTTGATCAGTTTAAATCCATGGCAGGTTCCTTATAGTTTCCCTAACTTGATCTAAACATAAAAAGAAATTGTTCTCAAAAAGGGGGACATTGTACCTTTCCAAAGGACTTGTTTAAAAGGTGTTTAAGTCAGATTGAACAGATTTTAATCGTATATAAAAGGATTCTATCACAAAATAAAGATCATGATAATCTAACAATTTCAATTGTTTTATTTTTTATAGAATTTTTTAAAAAGATTTTATTTATTTCTTAGATAGATCACAAGTAGGCAGAGGGAGGAAGGGAAGCAGGCTCCCTGCTGAGCAGAGAGCCCGACGTGGGGCTCGATCCCAGGACTTTGGGATCATGACCTGAGCCAAAGGCAGAGGCTTAACCCACTGAGCCACCCAGGTGCCCCTAGGAAGGGGTTCTTAAAAAACGAATTCAAAAAAGATTTGAAAGAGTAGACGCAGAGGCTGACAGAAGTGCTGAACTGGGGTTCTCTGTAGATAGCAAAACCCGCCTCTTCCCCGGGGAGAGCTGACTGTGTCTTCACACAGACAGGATTCCTTTGGATTGCCCTGAGTAGGACTGCTCTTTGCATCACTGTTTTCTACAACGTACTGTGGAGAACAGCTCAGCCATGGCCAGGACAGGGGCCGAGCCCTGCAGAATGAGGTCACCCTGACTGTAGGGGCGGGGGTGCTCCGCTGAAAGACGCTCGCTTATCCTCATCGCCCACCTCAGCCTTTCGGTGTTTCCTGACGTTCATCTGTGTTTTCCTGTTAGTCTTTGAAACTAGCATGGCCAACTAACGTGTCCTTCCACTGTATTAAATAAAACATTGGTGAAAGTGCTTTGTTAAATGTCAAGAATAAGACATTGTTCTTAACAAACTGCATTATCACATCCCCAGAGCCTGTCAGACTTAGGTGACTACCACAGGTTAACACTGTCACAGCTACTAGTTTGAACACATTTTATTTTTACATATAACTTATTTAGTTGTTGATTTAAGTCATCTCTACACCCAGTGCAGGACTTGAACTCATGACCGGGAGAGTGAGAGTGGCATGGTCTTCCAGCGGAGCCTAGGCCAGCGTCTCCTTGAACACACTTTATACCCTTCTTTTGTATGTATTGGATTTGAAACTTCAACTTCCCTACCAAAGAGAAATGTCATGAGAAAAATAACACAGGTTTTTATAAAATTACTGTCAGGAGCCAGATATGTCATTTCCCTCCCAAACTCCCTCGATGTGAACTCTCTCCCTCGTCTTACAGTGGTCATTAGACTTGACACTCATACCTGCAGAACAGCTCGTCGTGGTTCTCTACTGCATTCTCTTCTGTGGTCACTGGTTTTCAACTTTATATATGTAGTGATTTTTAAAATTAACTCCTGTCTCTCTCTTTTCTCCCTACAGTTTTTTTTATCACACAGAGCGAGGGGCGGATTGAGAATTAGTGTGCTCTCATGTAAGCTGGCAGACCCTGTTGAGGCAAGTAGGAGCTTGTCTGGGCAAGGAAAAGTTTAAAACAAGATACTTCAAACTCTGGACAAGAATATGAGTTTCCATTTTCTTGAGAGTGGAAAATGAGTTTGAAAACTATGGATAAAATTGTATTTTGTTCAAAGGTGGTAAAAGTGTTTCTATAAATTGTTATTATGTATCCTTCTGGAGCTGGTTAGGGGGTAAGTCTTAAAATCTCTCATCCACCCCAGCTCCTTTCTTAGAAGGCCTTTTGGCTGATTTTGCCCTCTCTTCCCAAGTTGGAAAATGTGTGTGGGAATTAATAAACACGTTTAACCTTCCCCCACAGATATCAGTGATTTCTTAAGCCCATTTACTCTTTGTCTTTATTTTCCTGGGGAAAGATCAGAACCTCCTAAAATGACCTTTCTGGAGCTTGGTGGTGGCTGAGACTGCCTTCCAGGAACTGCTGGGACACAGGCAAGGGCTTCTTGGTGGCTCAGGGTTGGAACAGCGGAAGCCCAAGGCTGCAGGCAGTGCTGGGCAGCAGCTTTGAACCCTGAACAGCTTCTCTGAGCCTTGCCTTCTCTGATGACACATGCGGCCGCCCAGCGCTTGTGAAGACTGGCTGCCATAGGGTGACAGGGGTGAGATGCGTGAGTCTGAATCACCTGGGAGGAGACCAGCCTCAAAAGATCTCGGAGTGTCGCCAGTCTGGGACCTGGAAGGGCAGGGCTGCTCCAACAGGATGCCGGCCCCAGGCTCCCCGCGCTGCACTGGTCCTGGCTATATGCCGGAGCACCGTGCTCAGCCCCATACCGTTCCGAGTCACCGGCTGCAGGACACGGGTTTACCAGCAGTCACTGCTGGCCCACAGTCTGGCAGGTTTGGCGTTTCCAGCACCCACCAAAGGAGAAAAGAACAAAAAGTAAGTATCTGAAACTCTTTCTCACAAAGCTGGTGTTGGGAGATAAACGTGTCAGCAGTGTTGTCTCTGGCTTTTACCATCGGCAGCCGTGTCAGAGGGCATGAGTGGACCCTAGTGTGTCCCGGTTGTGGTAATGAGTGAGGCAAGGCAGGACTTGACCTACGTGTGCAGATGGGGGTGCGCCCCATGAAGAGCTTCCTTTCCCTCTCCCCTGGGGCAGGGTATGCGTATGCTAAGCAAGGTGACTCCAGAAGAGAAGGAAGGTGGCAGAGTGGTGGAGCGGGAGGGTTCGGGCTGCAGAGGAGAGAGAAGTGGGGGCCTGCCTGGTCGTCACATTCACACTCTCTGCTGATTAAGCAAGAGCGGGTGTCCAAGAGCAGAGGAGACCAGGGAGGACATCTGGCCCGGGTGGTGTGTGTCAGGAATGGCTGTGCCAGACCTCCTGGTGCCCTGACCTCTGCCAGCGGATCCCAAAGCACCAATGCCTGGACCACAGGTGTTGGTACCAGCTGTGTGGGCTCCTGCCATCTGGGGGCCTCTGTTGCCCGATGGCCTCAGCAGCATAATACAGATGCCTAATATAGGCATTCTCAAATTAGGCTTTTATGTCATACCCAGTGTTCCCCAGCCACAGCTATGGGCCCTAGCAGTGCCGTGGAGGGCTCTGAACAGCCTCTTCACTGCTACCTTGGTGACCTCTCAGTCCACCAGCATTTAACCAAGGAAACCCCATGCGCGTACCTGGAGGGCCCCCCGATTGCTGATTTCATCTGCTACCATAGGAATCTACAGGGCTAGGTGTCAGGCCACACTGAATCAAAGGGGCTTCCCAAGATTAACTCACACATTTATGAAATGAAGATGACAAATTTTGGTTGATTTCTAAAATCTGGCTGTAGATTAGCCAGAATTCACGCACTCAGAGGTATAAAGAAAGAAGCATCCCACTCCATCACTACAAACTGTGCGAGTTCCTGTCCAGCAGCTCCGCTTGCCGCTGCCCTCCAGGAGCTGCTTTTCCTGTCCTGGCATCTTCCCATCTGCAGGTTTGCTTTGCTTTATGTAAATAGTGTGCTGACTGGATGATTCTTCCTAATCTACTCGTGGTTGCTTTTGGTAAGGTTCTCCTTTCCTAATTTTGCTGTGCACATGGCAGAATATGTGATACGCTTCACATAAAATTGATCATTTTACCATTTTTAGGTGTACAATTGAATGGCCTTAAATACATTCACAGTGTTGTGCGACCATCACCACATCCATCTCCAGAACTTTTTCATCTTCCCAAACTGACACTCTGTCCCCGTTAGACAATCGCTCTCTATTTCCGCTTCTCCAGCCCCTGCTAACCTCCGAGCTGCTTCATGTCCATGAGCTTGACGACTCTGGGTACTTCATGTGAGACATGACCTTCTGTGGTGGCTTCTTTCTCTGGCATGACGTGTTTGAGGTCCACCCATGTCACAGCAGCTGTCAGTGCATCCTTGTGGTTGAGGACTTTCCTGCCGTATGGACAAACACTTTGTTCACCCACTCTTCTGTCTGTGGACATCTGGGCTGTCTTCACCTTTTGGCTCTTGTGATTGGCCAATTACAGCTACTGTGAGCATGTGCTTATAAGCGCCCTCAATTTTGTGTGTCTTTCCTGTCATATGTATTCATCTTTCTTTGTTAAAATGTACAGTTTGCAAGTACAGGACACTCTATATCTGTTTACGCTTAATACTTTGTCATAAACCTTTTTACATGATTCAATATTCGAGCTAACTTTAATGGCTATATATCATTTCATTCATTATATAAATGTAGGGTAGTGAATGTAATCAATCCAATGCTGTTAGACATTTAAGATGTTCCCCATTTGTTACTATTGGAAATGACAGCTGTAGCTGAATTTTTGTACACATTCTTTTTTAAAATTTTTATTCGTTTTTTAAAATTTCTTTTCAGTGTTTCAGAATTCATTGTTTATACAGCATACCCAGTGCTCCATGCAACCCGTGCCCTCCATAATACCCACCACCAGGCTCACCCAACCTCCCACCCTGCTCCCCTCCAAAACCCTCAGTTAGTTCCTCAGAGTCCCCAGTCTCTCATGGTTCCTCTCTCCCTGCGATTTCCCCCAACTCCCTTCTCTCCATCTCCCCATGTCCTCCGTGTTATTCCTTATGCTCCACAAGTAAGTGAAGCCATATGATAATTGACTTCCCCTGCTTGACTTATCTCATTCAGCATAATCTCCTCCGGTCCTGTCCACATTGATACAAAAGTTGGGTATTCATCCTTTCTGATGGAGGCATAATACTCCATAGCATATGTGGACCACATCTTCCTTACCCATTCGCCTGTTGAAGGGCAACTTGGCTCTTTCCACAGTTTGGCAACTGTGGCCATTGCTGCTATGAACATTGGGGTACAGGTGGCCCTTCTTTTCACTACATCTGTATCTTTGGGGTAAATACCCAATAGTGCAATTGCAGGGTCACGGAAGCTCTATCTTTAATTTCTTAAAGAATCTGCACACTGTTTTCCAAAGTGGCTGCACCAACTTGCATTCCCACCAACAGTGTAAGAGGGTTCCCCTTTCTCCACATCCTCTCCAACACATATTGTTTATGGTCTTGTTAATTGTGGCCATTCTGACTGGTGTAAGGTGGTATCTCACTATGGTTTTGATTTGAATTTCCCTGATGGCTAGTGATGATGAACATTTTTCATGTGTCTGTTGGCCATTAGTATGTCTTCGTTGGAGAATTGTCTGTTCATGTCTTCTGCCAATTTTTTGACATGATTATCTGTGTTGTGTGTGTTGAGTTTGAGGAGTTCTTTATAGATCCTGGGTATCAGCCCTTTGTCTATAGTGTCGTTTGCGAATATCTTCTCCCATTCCGTGGGTTGCCTCTTCATTTTGTTGACTGTTTCCTTTACTGTGCAGAAGTTTTTGATCTTGATGAAGTCCCAAAAGTCATTTCCTTGGGATAAGTTCTGGACATTAAGTTGCTATAATAACATGAATAGCTAACATAATTGAGTGCTTTCCGTGGGACAGACACTGTAATAGACACTTACAGTACCCAATTTATGATTTTATTATTTTTTGGAAGATTTTATTTATTTGACAGAGAGAGCACAAGCAGGGGGAGGAGCAGAGGGAGAAACAGACTCCCCACTGAGCAGGGCACCCCACATGGGGCTCGATCTCAGGACTGGGATCATGACCTGAGCCAAAGGCAGATGCTTAACTGACTGAGCCACCCAGGGGCCCCTCATACTCAGTTCATACAAGGACTGTTAGTTTGCCCATTTTGCAGATGGGACCTGAAGGCCCAGCTGCAGGAGTTGAAATAGAGGTGGTTGTGTGAGCAGGTATTACTGGAGGCTCACACTCCATGTGCTGCTTCCGGGATGGTCTTTGGCTCTGAGCTTCTCCATCTGGGTTTCCTTTTGTAAACAGGGATAACAATACCAACTTCTCTTGGTGACTGTCAGGACTGAGCACATGCATGTATGTCAAGGGCTTAGACTCACATGCCGGGACATGATCAGGGAGTATGTTATTGTAAATGTTGAAGGAGAGCAGTTTCACTGCCACTCATATCTGGCAATATTTTTGTTGTGTGAATCCTATTCTGGTTTTTTAGTCTAATTTTTTTTTTCTATAGTTGATTTTTTTTTTTTTTTTAAGTAGACTCCACGCCCAAAGTGTGGCTTGAACTCATGACCCCAAGATTAAGAGTTGTGTGCTCAGGGCCCCTCGGTGGCTCAGTCAGTTGAGCGTCCGACTCCTGGTTTTGGTTCAGGTCATGATCTTAGGATCTTGAGATCAAGGCCTGCGTTGGGCTCAGCGCTCAGCACAGGGTCTGCTTGAGATTCTCTCTCCCTCTTCTCCTGCCCCTCTCCCCCATGCTCTCCCATATGGTCTCTCTCTCTCGCTCTCAAATAAATAAATAAGTCTTGGGGTAAAAAAAAGTGTTCTGTGTTCTACCAACTGGGCCAGCCAGGCACCCATATAGTTGAGTTATAGTTACAATTACTCTTTCCCTTTAAAATATATGAAAGCTTTTAGCATATTTGAATTTATCATATTGAAAAGAAATATAAAACTTACCTGAAATCAAGGGTACTATACCAACATTAATACCACAGATGTGCCCAATAGTCTCATCAAAACAATAACTAAGTACAAAAATATTGAAAGATGTTAGCCTCACTATTAATGAAAGAAATGCAAATTAAAATGACCACAGCCATAGGGAAGCCTGGGTGGCTCAGGTTGTTTAAGCGTCTGATTCTTGGTTTCGGCTCAGGTCCTGATCTCAGGGTTGTGAGACGGAGCCCTGTCTGGCTCCAGGCTCAGCGGGGAGCCTGCTTGAG